GGCATAAACAAACCTCTGAGCATGCCTGCCATAGATGCAGGTGAAACTTCAGGAGATAATTCTACTGGAACACGACCATACACCCCAAAAAACTCACAGCAACCCATGTATAAAAAGCTCTAACCCCCTTTTGTCTCTGTGGTACTTCCTGGCTTGGTTCATGACAACCCACTCCTTAGTTACTTCTGTAATTACTGTAAAACTAAGAATCTACTCATTGTTGATTATTATTGTTGTTATTATTTGAAACACCACAAGATTCTGAACCCCACCAACGATGGAATTGAACCAAACTTGGCACACAGGCCTCCCATGACCAACAGAAAATACTGGAAAGGTTTGGTGGGCACTGACCTTGAGTTTGGGAGTTGTAGTTCACCTACATCCAGAGAGCACTGTGGACTCAAACAATGATGGATCTGGACCACACTTGGCACAAATATTCCATATGCCCAAATATGAACACAGATGGGAGTTTGCGGGAAATAGGCCTTGGCAATTGAGAGTTGTAGTTACTGGGATTTATAGTTCACCTACAATCAAAGAGCATTCTGAACCTCACCAATGATAGAATTGAACCAAACTTGGCACACAGAACTCCCTTGACCAACAGAAAATACTGGAAGGGTTTGGTGGGCATTGACCTTGAGTTTGGGAGTTGTAGTTCATCTACATCCAGAGATCACTGTGGACTCAAACAATGATGGATCTAGACCAAACTTGGCACAAATATTCCTTGACATTTGGGAGTTGTAGTTACTGGGATTTATAGTTCACCTACAATCAAAGACCATTCTGAATGAACCCCACGAATGACAGAACTGGGGCAAACTTCCCACACAGAACTGCAATGACCCACAGAAAATACTTAAGGCCATCCAGTCCAACTCCCTTCACTAGGGCAAGAAAATGTAATCAAAGTCCTCCTGATAAAGAGCCATCCAGCCATAGAGAGAGAGAGAGATGATTCACACACACACAAGTATAGTATCATAGATTTGAAAGGGACCCTTAAAGAAGGACAATTATATGTTGCATGTTCCAGAGGAGGCAAACCAGACACTCTCCACATCAATACTGACAAAGAAACAACAAGAAATACTGTTTACCCACAAACATAAAGACATTACTCATATTAGAACAGTGGTTCTCAACCTGGGGGTTGGGACCCCTGGAGGGGTCGCGAGGGGATGTCAGAGGGGTCGCTAAAGACCATCACAGACAGTATTTTCTGTTGGTCATGGGAATTCTGTGTGGGAAGTTTGGCCTAATTCTATCATTGGTGGGCTTCTGGATGCTCTTTGGTTGTAGGTGAACTATAAATCCCAGCAACTACAACTCCCAAATGTCAAGGTTTATTTTCCTCAAACTTCACCAGTGTTCACATTTGGGCATATTGAATATTCGTGCCAAATTTGATCCAGATCCATCATTTTTTGAATCCACAGTGCTCTCTGGGTGTAGGCAAACTACAACTCCCGAACTCAAGGTCAATGCCCACCAAACCCTTCCAGTATTAGGTTCTTGTGGGTTTTTTCGGGCTATAGAGCCATGTTCTAGAGGCATTTCTCCTGACGTTTCGCCTGCATCTATGACAAGCATCCTCAGAGGTAGTGAGGTCTTCTTCATGGGAGTTCTGTGTGCCAAGTTTGGTCCAATTTCATCGTTGGTATAGCTCAGAATGATCTTTGAATGTAGGTGAACTATAAATCCCAGCAACTACAACTTCCAAGTAACAAAATTAATCCTCCCATCCCAAACCCACCAGTATTATGACTTTATTTTCCAGATCAACAGACTGGGCCACAGCAACGTGTGACAGGGGACAGCTAGTTATTTTAAAAATATTTTAATATATTTTACATTACACGTAATATTGCTAATAATATTACAATGTAATGGCACAGTACAATATAGTAATATATAATACTGATATTGTAGTATGCTAATATAATATATTGTATGTGTGTGTGTGTATATATATATATATATATATATATATATATATATCTTGTAAACCGCTCTGAGTCCCCTTCGGGGTGAGAAGGGTGGCATATAAATGTCACAAGTAAATAACGTAAATAGTCTGGCATGGTGGTTGTCAGAGTGGTCCAGCATTTCAGTGTCCTCAGGATGCTATGTGATGCTTCTGTGATGCTATGCACTCTGAGGAGGAGAAGGAGGGGAGGATATTGACAAGCTGGAATGTGTCCAGAGGAGAGCGACTAAAATGATAAAAGGTCTGGAGAACAAGCCCTATGAGGAGCGGCTTAAAGAGCTGGGCATGTTTAGCCTGAAGAAGAGAAGGCTGAGAGGAGACATGATAGCCATGTATAAATATGTGAGAGGAAGTCACAGGGAGGAGGGAGCAAGCTTGTTTTCTGCTGCCCTGGAGACTAGGACGCGGAACAATGGCTTCAAACTACAAGAAAGGAGATTCCACTGAACATTAGGAAGAACTTCCTGACTGTGAGAGCCGTTCAGCAGTGGAACTCTCTGCCCCGGAGTGTGGTGGAGGCTCCTTCTTTGGAAGCTTTTAAACAGAGGCTGGATGGCCATCTGTCAGGGGTGATTTGAATGCAATATCCCTGCTTCTTGGCAGGGGGTTGGACTGGATGGCCCAGAGGTCTCTTCCAACTCTTTGATTCTATGATTCTATGATCTGGCAACTCTCACTCCAGGTATTGCTGGAGTCTTCCTTTACCTTTACCTATGTATAAAAATCTTGTAATAAATAACATAAAATAAATAGTCTGGCATGGTGGTTGTCAAAGTGGTCCAGCATTGCAGTGTCCTCAGGATGCTATGAGATGCTTTTGTGATGCTATGCACTCTGAGGAGGGGAAGGAGGGGAGGAGGGCTTCTTTCCCGCGTAATGGTGCCTCCTTCTTGGCCGCTTTAGGGTCTTCCTCCTCGAAAAAAAAAGGCGGGAGAGAAAAAAGGGCGGGAGAGAGAGATTGAGATAGAAAGAAAGGGCAAGGTTCTTGTAGGTTTTTTCGGGCTGTAGGGCCATGTTCTAGAGGCATTTCTCCTGACGTTTCGCCTGCATCTATGGCAAGCATCCTCAGAGGTTGTGAGGTCTGTTGGAAATAGGAAAATGGGTTTATATATCTGTGGAATGACGGGGGTGGGGCAAAGAGCTCTCTGCTGAAGCTAGGTGTGAATGTTTCAGCTGACCACCTTCATTAGCATTTGAAGGCCTGGCTGAGCCTGGGAAAATGTTCTGTTGAGAGGTGTTAAGATGTGCCTGGTTGTTTCCTCTCTGCTGTTTTGCTGTTGTAATTTTAGAGTTTTTAATACTGGTAGCCAGATTTTGTTCATTTTCATGGTCTCTTCCTTTCTGTTGAAATTGTCCACATGCTTGTGGATTTCAATGGCTTCTCTGTGTAGTCTGACATGGTGTGTGTTCGAGTGGCCCAGCATTTCTGTGTTCTCAACTGATTGCAGAGGGAAGCTGATGAGGAAACACAACATACAAACTATCTACAGACCCACCAAGAAATCCAACAAATGCTACGTTCAGCAAAGGACAAGAGGGATCCTCTCACCTCTGCAGGAGTCTACCGTATACCATGCAGCTGTGGACAAGTCTACATAGGGACCACCAAACGCAGCAGCATTGCCCAAACACGAATCAAGGAACATGAAAGGCACTGCAGACGACTTCAACCAGAGAAGTCACCCATAGCAGAGCACCTGATGAACCAGCCTGGACACAGCTGTTGCAATTTTAGAGTTTTTTAATACTGGTAGCCAGATTCAGCAGTTCAGCAGTGGAACTCTCTGCCCTGGAGTGTGGTGGAGGCTCTGAAGCAGACTTTTTCTCCTCCCGAGCGATTGCTCGGGAGCTTAGCCAAATGTTCAAACCAAGTCCGATTGCGGACGCAGATGAGTCAGGGAAAACAGCCAACAGGGTTCAGAAGAAATCAAAGTATTTTATTTAGCAGCTGCTAGATGACTTCCGACGTAACGGGACGTCTCTGGGGAAGTCACCCAGCACAAAAGGTTAGTGTTCCTTTTATACATGCAAAGGGGTTCGGCTTTAAGAGCCGCCCCAAAGATTAAATCATTGGTTAAGAAAGCTGTCAATATTATATTTACGTTAAGCAATTAGATCATACACTTTTAAGTTTCGCTTCTCATTAAGCAAGCCCTTTTTGGAAACATCACAAGAACATCACAAGATGCTGATATGCTAATACAGCTGGAGACAGCTGCTGATCTTGGCAACTCAATTTAGCCTTGGCTGGTCCCTCTCTGCAAAGTCAGCACGTCTCCTGACCGATACTTCACCCTTGCACAAAAAACTTATCTTTGGCACCAAACCCTGTCTTTGTTTCCCATATATGGTCAAGTCCATATCCGTTCTCTTTTCTCCATGAAGACCCCGGCATTTTGTAAAACTAAAGCTGTATCTTCTGCCTTAGCTCCTACTTTGGAAGCTTTTAAACAGAGGCTGGATGGCCATCTGTCAGGGGTGATTTGAATGCTTCTTGGCAGAATGGGGTTGGGCTGGATGGCCCATGAGGTCTCTTCCAACTCTTTGATTCTATGATATAAATGTCATAAATAAATAAATAAATAACATAAAATAAATAGTCTGGCATGGTGGTTGTCTGAGTGGTCCAGCATTTCAGTGTCCTCAGGATGCTATGAGATGCTTCTGTGATGCTATGCACTCTGGGGAGGAGAAGGAGGGGAGGGAGGGCTTCTTTCCCGCCTTCTTGGCCGCTTTAGAGTCTTCCTCCTCGAAAAAAAAAAAGGCGGGAGAGAAAAAAGGGCGGGAGAGAGAGAGAGATTGAGAAAGAAAGAAAGAAAGAAAGGGCGGTTGGGCCTCCTTCCATAGATATCCCTCCGCCCGTGACGTCACTCTCCGCGCGCGCCTCGAGAAAGAAGGGCAGGAGGGGGAGAAAAGGCGCGCTTTGCCTTCACCTCTCTCTCTCTCTCTCTCTGGAGATCCCTCCGCCAGTGACGTCACTCAGCCCCGCCCCCTGGCTGCTGCTGCTGCTGCTGCTAGTTCTCCTCAGTCGCCGCCGCCGCCGCCATCATCACCACCATGTCTCACCAGAGCAGCCTTCTCAGCTTCTTCCCCAAGTCGGGGAGTAGGCGAGGCCGGGAGAGTGACAGCGACGACGAGGAGAGTGCTGGCAGTTCTGGCAGGCCTCCCCGGAACAAACGCGGCACCGCTAACCTCCCTCCGGCGGATTGGTGAGCCTCAGGAGAGAGAGGGGGAGGGAAAGAGGGAGGCTTCGGGCCTGCACTGCGAGGAAGGCGCCTGTTTTGCGGCCTAGCTTCTTTCGAAGGAAACAAGGCCGCTCCTTGAGGGATGGCGCGGAAAGGAGGGAACAATGAGGGGAAAAGGAGGGGGGCGAGGCTTTCTGGGAAGGATAGGCCTCGCTGGAAGAGGAGAAGAGAGAGGCCTAGCCTTCCCGCGTGGAGGAGGCCTGGCTTTGAGGAAGTGGGCCGGGCCTTTGGGGCAGATCGCTCCATAGCATTGTCTTAGGCCAGGCATGGCAGCTATTGCAGCTATTGCAATGTAAATCAGCGAAAAGGTAGGAGAATAAATAATCCAAATGTGTTGTCGAAGGCTTTCATGCCTGGAATCATTGGGTTGCTGTAGGTTTTTCGGGCTGTCTCAGGAGCAGGGCTTTCTCAGTGGTGGCCCCCCACCTGTGGAACTCACTCCCGGGGGAAATCAGGGCATCATCATCCCTCCTCGCCTTCAGGAGCAGGGTGAAGACTTGATTATGGGACCAGGCCTTTGGGCACTCTGGCAATTAAATCAGACAATCAGGCGAGTAAGACCAGCAGGATTGATGAAGCGGAACGTAAAACTAGATCTAGGTGTTAACGAACGCTGACCATGTAAGAGGAGAAATTGGGTTTGTATTTGGTTTTTATTGATTTTATGGTTATACTGCATGAATTGTTGTCAACTGTGAATTGATGTAATTTTGTGTATGATTGTTTTATGATGCAGGCATCAAATTGTGCCTTTGCTTTTGTAAGCCGCCCTGAGTCCCCTTCAGGAGAGGATGCTTCTAGAACACCACCTTCTCAGTGGTGGCCCCTCGGCTGTGGAATGCCTTACCTGTGGACATTATATATTTAATATAATTATAACATATTATTTTTAAAATAATATATTATAATTATATATTTTACATTACACGTATTACTAATAATATTACAATATAATGGCATATAGTACAATATAGTAATATATAATACTGATATTGTCCTATGCTAATATAATACATTGTATGTATATATATCTTGTAAGCCATTCTGAGTGCTGGTCGCTTCTGTACCAAGGCAGAGACATCTCCAGCTCATCCCGTTTGGGTATCAGCCAGCATGTCAACGACTTAAATCACGACATAGTTTTCTTAGATCTACAGAGACACTTGCTGGAACACCTCAGCAAGCGAGAGTCCAAAAGTGGCAGGCCCCTTCACTGCTGGCATTCTGGAGGAAGGTCAAGACTTAGCTTTACGAACAAGCGTTTGGCTAAATAGTGCAATGAATACATGAAGATGGTACAACCGAACATAGGAATTGGTATAAGGATTATGATTACGGACTCAGATTCTGATTAGTTTGCTGGGGCTTATGATAATGATTGTTTTGATTTGGTATATTTTGTATAATGTGTTTTTAATTGTCTTTTTGATACTGTTGTGATAACCTTTACTATGTAAACCGCCTTGAGTCGCCATTTCGGCTGAGAAAGGCGGTATAGAAGTAAAGCAAATAAATAAATAGAAAAGGGGTCCTTTCACCCAGCCCTTGCTCAGGTTCTTTGTATTGTGAAAGACTTTAATGGCTGGAATCATTGTGTTGCTGTAGGCTTTTTGGGCCATATGGCCATGTTCTAGAAGCATTCTCTCCTGACAATTTCAACAGAAAGGAAGAGACCATGAAAATGAACAAAATCTGGCTACCAGTATTAAAAAGCTCTAAAATTACAACAGCAAAACAGCAGAGAGGAAACAATCAGGCACATCTTAACACCTCTCAACAAAAGATTTTCCCAGGCTCAGCCAGGCCTTCAAATGCTAATGAAGGTGGTCAGTTGAAACATTCACACCTAGCTCCAGCAGGGAAGAGCTCTTTGCCCCACCCCAGCCATTCCACAGATATATAAACCCATTGTCCTAATTCCAACAGACCTCACTACCTCTGAGGATGCTTGCGGTAGATGCAGGCGAAACGTCAGGAGAAATGCCTCTAGAACATGGCCCTATAGCCCGAAAAAACCCACAAGAACCTAGTGATTCCATCCATGAAAGCCTTCGACAATACATTCTCTCCTGACGTTTCCTCTGCATCTATGGTAAGCATCACCTCACAACCTGAGGATGCTTGCCATAGATGCAGGCGAAACGTCAGGAGAGAATGCTTCTAAAACAGGGGTCCTCAAACTAAGGCCCAGGGGCCGGATATGGCCCTCCAAAGTCATTCACCCAGCCCTCGCTCAGGGTCAACCTAAGTCTGAAAGGACTTGAAAGCACAAAACAACAACTATCCTATCTCATCAGCCAAAAGCAGGCCCGCACTTCCCATTGAAATACTAATAAGCTTATTTTGTTACAATTGTTTTTCATTTTAATTATTGTATTGTTTTTAAGTGTTTTTTGCACTACAGATAAGGTATGTGCAGTGTGCATAGAATTCATATCTTTTTCAAATTATAATCCGGCCCTCCAACAGTGACTCTTGCTTGCTGTAGCCGATGGGGGTTGTGTATGGTATGAGTTTAACATCCTACCCCTGAAATTTTTCAGGTATTTAAAAAACTGGTTTACTCATGAATTTCAACTGGTTAACCAAATCCCCATGCTAAGTCCCATGAAAAAAAAAGAGTTCATCCAAAACTGCAAACACTATTTCTCAACCACATTTGGATACTGGGTTGCTGTAAGTTTTTTCGGGTTTTATGGCCATGTTCCAGAAGCATTGTCTCCTGATGTTTTTCTGCATGTATGGCAGGCATCCTCTGAGGTTGTGAGGTTTGTTAGAAACTAGGAAAATGAGATTTAGATATCTGTGGAATGTACACGGTGGAAGAAAGAACGCTTGTCTGTGGGAGGCAAGTGTGACTGTTGCAGTTGGCTACCTTTGATTAACATTGAATTGCCTTACAGCTTCAAAGATTGGTTGCTTCTTTGTATTGTCGAAGACTTTCATGGCTGGAATCATTGAGTTGCTGTAGGTTTTTCGGGCTATATGGCCATGTTCTAGAAGGATTCTCTCCTGACGTTTCACCTGCATCTATGACAACCATCACCTCACAACCTGAAGATGCCTTTTACAGCCTCCCTAAACTACAAACCCCAGGATTCTGCAGGACTTTTTCTCTAGTGTGATGAAGTGGTCAGACTTTATTCCATTTAATTAAAAATGAACCCTAACACAATTGCAACTTTATTCTTCTTTCGCCTACTATTGATTCACAGAATGCATTATAAAAAGTCCTTCTACCTATCAGTTTCAAACATCATGACTCCAGAGAAGAGTATATGAAAATATTAGGAAAATGAAATGAATATGGCCTTCTCTAACAGCAATTTATGTTGTAAGCATCTAATAACATCTATGCAATTATTGGTTGATATAAGGCAACCTTCCCTAGTCAGCATGATGGATCAGTTACTGCAGTGGTTCTCAACCTGTGGGTCCCCAGGTGTCTTGGACCACAGCTCCCAGAAATCGTAGCCAGTTTATCAGCTGTTAGGATTTTGGGGAGTTGAAGCTCTTACCTTGAAGATGAACCAACATCTGAAGTGCTTTTTGTGTGCATTGTCCTAGATTTCCATGAAATGATTTTGCTTGAACTAAGAGTTTTTTCCCCTTTGTGAAGGTAAGCACACATACAGAACAAGCAGAAAAGGAAAAGTTGATTGATCACAAAAACACAAGCACCCCATTCAGCGCTACTACTTTGACTCTTAGTCCCACCTCCGTCTCAAGCATGGTTGGTGGGGACAAGGCAGAGGACCTTCTCGGTGGTGGCACCTTGGCTCTGGAATTCTCTCCTCAAGGAATTAGACTGGCACCCATCCTGACCACTTTTCACAAGGACCTAAAAACATGGATGTTCCACTATGCCTATGATTAAACAGTTCACCAGATAGGTGTCCCCAACTACAATTTATTATCAGGTCCTGCACTGATCTCTGTGTCCTGGCCTATAGATCTGTCTTTTCCAGGTCATTCTGATGATCTCTTCTGTGCCTCTCATACAAATTTCTTCTCCACTGCCTAGCAACGCTATCTCTTCCCAACTCCTTTGCGCCTTTATAATCCCTCCTACCCTCTTTTTAACCCATTCTCAAAACTTCCATATACAATTCACATTTTTAAAATCTCAGTATCTCGACCTCTGTTTAAAACCTCCAAAGGAGGAGACTCCACCTTGCTCTGAGGCAACACATTCCACTCTCAAAGAGACCTTGCCTTCAGGAGGTTTTTCCTAATCCACACACACAAAATTTGGATCAATTGCTCCTTTTTCTTATTTCTGTAGCAGTTCCCTAACATCTTTCAGGCAACAGCTGAAGACCTTCCTTTATAAACAAGCCTTCGGCAGATAAATGTCGACTGGAGTTGAGAAGGTTAATATCTCATGGGAGGTATGAAATGCAATATGGCTCGATTTGACAAGACAGCACAATAATGTATTTAGGTTTTAAATGCTTATTTATGTTGTTTTTTTTAGTGATTGTTTATTGTGTTCTATATTTGTGGTTTGATTCTGCTCTTGTATTTTACTGTGTTTTTAACATTCTAGAAGCCACTTTGGGTCCCTTTGTGGGAGAAAAGCAGGATATAAATAAGGACGCATTATTATTATTTATTAGAAATAGAAAACAAGCTTGCTCCCTCTCAATGTGACATTCTTTCAAATACTCAAACATGGCTATCATGTCAGCTCTCTGCCTTTTTTACTCCGAGCTGAACATATCCAGCATCCTCAGCCTTTCCTCATGGGACTTGGATTTCAAATCTTTCTCAGGTTCTATCTGCAAGTTAACAGGTGTCTGGCTTTGTTTTAAATGGCTTAGACCTAATAGTGAACCCTTACAGATATAAGGAGGAGTGCAGTGAGCCTTTGTTATCTGCTGGGGGCTGGTTTCAGTGTGGCAGCCGTTAGGAGCAAATAAAATAATAAAGGGAAATCATAATAATTTAGAATAAAATAGAAGATTCATGTTCCTACCTGATTCTGAAAAAGACCTTTTCTAAGAAGTTAATTTGCAAGCATGAAAAACCTGCAGATGATATTGATTGACACGGGGTCAGTGTGCTCTAGCCGATATTTGCTCTAGCCAATGTTTACATAGATGAGAAGTCAATAAGAGAAGTTTGGCAGGACAAAGAAATCAATAGTATCGACCCAAGACTTGGAACATCTAACGTCATATGGTGAGAGAGCGCCATCCTCTGACCGCTTAGTGTAAATAGCAGGCAATTTCAGGAACACTTTTATCCTAAGTAGATTCCTTCATGGTCTTCATATTAAGAATTAAGTTATAATGAAGTAATTAAGGCTGGATTGATTAGAGGAGATTGCCTTGATTAAATCTTACGTTATACGCATATAAAAGTTATAATTCAATTATAGATTTAACGAATTGAACATATACGTGTCATCTTAGGGTAACGGGTGACAGTTGGGATAAGTTACATAATCGAGCAGATGTTTGGGGGTCACAACGTACCTGCCAAGACCTGATAAAGATGTCCTTGGCAACTATACATGGAAACACCTGTTAATGATTGTATTGTGTAAATGTCAGACTCCTTCTGTACACGTGTGGAAAGGGTGATATTCTGCTATAAAAGACCGAGGTGATTCAGACCTCAGTGGTGACAGACTTCTGATCTGTACACCCTATCTTGCTTGATAGTAAAGGCCTGAGAATCGATTGCTGTCTCCGTCCTCTTCCTTCCTGATTGTACTCTAATGATCTCGGGTAACGTATATTCTGCAACATCAGGAGCACCCCAGTGGATACCAAATCCTTGAATGCTCAGATCATGGGGGCTGTAGCTTTACAAGGTCTCAACCTTCTCTACCAAACTCCAAATCCCAGTATCCCATAGCATCACAGCAACCCAGTGACTCTAGCCATGGAAGCCTTCAACAACACACTTTATTTATATTCCACTCTATCTCCCCAAAGGGACCCAGAGTGGATTACAACATACAGTGTTCCCTCACTTATCATGGATGAAAATCCATGAAGTAGGGACTATATATACCTATACACACACACACACACACATATATATATACATACATACACACAAGCGAACTGCGAAACAGCAAGGGAACACTGCACAGATATGCAAACATTCAGTGCCTTTAATACAGTGAAATAACAATGACACACAAATACCCAAACAAAGGTAAAGTCTTCCCCTTTCATCTCTGGCTTCTGGAGGTGGGACTCGACTCTGGCCGTGGAGAGGTGTTCTTTTTTTCTTTTCTAAGCTGAGGAGCCTGTTGTCCATAGACACCTCCTATTACGTTTCCACCGAAGTGGTACATGTTGATCTCACATTTGCATATCTTCGAACTGCTATGTTGGCAGGCGCTAGGATTAACAGTGGGAGCTCACCCTGACCTGCGGATTTGAACTGCCAACCTTCAGGTCAGCAGTTCAGCAGCACAAGTGTTTAGCTCATTGCGCCAACCATGACCCCCATTATGATTATGATGATATAAATGTGAAATTTGTCTGTATCTGTTTGTATCACAAAGGCTGTTGCTAGGTAAAGTGGCCTACTGTGATGTCATTGGTCTGACTGTTTCTAGGTGAAGTGGTCTGTGTGATGCCACTGGGAAGGAAAGGTGACGTGTTTCAGGGGAAGGGAGGAAGGAAGGATGGAGCAACAAAAAGACAGCCCACCATTGCCAGAGTGTTGCCATGGAAACATTGTGAGATAGGCTTTTTCAGATCTAGAGAAGAGTTGATGCACAGTGCCCCAATATCTCTATTTTGTTCCACTCCATCAGACACTATATCAGTGCTTCTCAACCTGTGGGTCCCCAGATGTTTTGGCCTTCAACTCCCAGAAATCCTAAAACTGATAAACTAGCTGGGATTTCTGGGAGTTGTAGGCCAAAACACCTGGGGACCCACAGGTTGAGAACCACTGCACTATATGATTAAAGTTCCATTCAGTTTTGATGCCATGTCTTTCGCTCTGGGATTTTCCAATCAGCAACTGTGCAGCAGTGCTTGCGAAGTAGAAAGTAATTCTGTACACATTCAAAGGCATTTTATTTGTATAGTATCAATATAATTGCCACTTGTTAAATGTTGTTGAAAAACAAACATTACTTTTCACAGATGATGAGTGTGGAATACATTTTCTCTCCTTTTATAGTGACTTCTGTGAATATTCACCTGGTGATTTAGTTTGGGCCAAACTTGAAGGATACCCATGGTGGCCATCTCTTGTGTACAAGCATCCAGCAGACGGAACACTTTTTCGGGGGAGAGGAAGAGCATCTCGCATCCATGTGCAATTTTTTGATGATGACCCATCAAGGGGCTGGGTTAGCCTTAGATACCTAAGACCATATGCAGGTAAGAAGTATGAATGGCAGCTGACTAATTACCAGTAATTACTGTACATTTTTTCTCAATTTGGCACTGATGCTTGAGATGGAGGGTATTTCTTTCTTTGGTATCATCCAGGACCTGTTCCTAATTTCACATCCTGTGTATCAGTTAAAGATTAGTAGGACTGTTTTAGAAGTTCGTCTTGGAACTTTTTTGGCACTTCAGTTTTTGGAGCTAGTATGGTAGAGTGGTTTGAGTGTTGGACTGCAATTCTGAAGACTAGGGTTCAAATTGCCGCTTGGCCGTGGAAACCCACTGGGTGATCTTGAGCAAGTCATGTTCTCTCCATCTTAGAGAAAGGTGAATCCTTTTGAACAAAACTTGCTGTTGTAGTCCACCCTTTGATTGTGCCTGTACCTGATCTCACTGGGGATTGTGGGCATGTTAGGCAGCCTGATGATGACAGTGGGGTTTCTGGGCCTGCAGATCAGCAAGAGAATCGGGAGGTTTTAAGCCCCGAGAATGAGAGCTCTGTGTTCAAGGGAGGCAACATCCCAGAAAGGCAGTTTCCTTGGAGGTGCAAGGTCAGAGGCAGAAATGAGCTCAGGGGAGGAAGATGGAAGGGAGGAAGATACAACTCCAGGTGGACGAGCTAATGAGCAAGAGTTAGATAGAAGATTAATGTTCCGTTAACATAGGGTATCTCCTGAAGCCGTGTGAAGGTCATCTCGCCTATTAACAAATGTTTTGAAATGGTGTGGTTTTCTGTCTTTATTAGAAAGGCCAGCAGAGAATTCCCTCAGTCCAGACAATGCTGATTTTGGAGCCAAGTCAAGTCTTCCAAGGGTTTTTTAGTTTCAGGTTTCCTTGTTTTCACACTTCCTGATTCCTTGTTTCATGTTCCTGCGGACCGTTCTTGTGTTGAATGTTTGGACTTTGCCTGCTTTTGTATTCTTGGGTATTGATGCATTTCATGTACTCTGAACTTTGAGGATTATTCCTGTTTTTGGACATCGATTTTTACACTATTTTGCTAGATTGCTTTTTATATATATTCAGTGAACTGCTTTGCTATTTTGTGTTGAACTAGATTATGTGTTAAGTACAGAGATGATTCCCAGCCTTGGAGTGCAACACTTGCCAAGAAAACCCAGTGATAGGTTTGCCTTCAGGTTTCATTGGTTAGAAATGACTAGAAGCCACCCACCAACAGTAGTAGCAATAGTTAACAACTCTTAGGAGGCAGGGGAATAAATGTAATATGTGTAAGTGTGCTTAAATTGTAGGATTTCTTGTATGTTAAGAACGCAGACTGTGATCCCAACTGGCCTTTTTTCGACTTCTAATTTGTCATTCCTTTGGTTTTACAGGTTCTAGTGGCAGAGATACCCAGAGGGGAGGTATGTTTTACAGTTCAAAACGTGAGATTAAGAGAGCAATGGAACTGGCAGATGCTGCTATGGAAAAAGATAAAAGTGAGCGACTTGAACTGGCAGTGTGTGACAAACCTTCCGAAAGTGAGGAGGATGAAGATGAGATGGAGGTATCTCTAAAATCTCATTTTCCAGATAACATAACAATGGCCTTACAAGAACTGTGCTGGCTTCTTGTTTGCTTAATTCCAGAGGGTGATCTTGACCTACAAAGTCTGAAATGGCTTGGGGCCAGGGTAATTGAACAGCTAGCTCCTCTCATAGGAACCTGGCCGAAACTTGTGATCTGTCTCCCAAGGGAGGTCAGACCCTTTTAAGTTTTAGGTGGGCAATGAAGACAGTGCTATTTCATTGGATCTTTGGCTTAAAATCTGGATATCTGCCTTGGTTTTTATTAAAATGATTTCTAGAGCATTTTTAAAAAGCTGTATTAAACACCATTAAAGATATCAAGGTGCGTCTTTTTGCTGGCAGATGTTCAACAGTATTGGGCTAGAATGAACTTAATATGCTGTTTACCATTCTTGAATCCAGCTGCCGCTGTGCCATAAAATCCTGGATCTGGCCGTTTAAAGATAATAAGGCCAGGACTTGATTTGTATTAATCTATAGTTTATATAAGCAACTAGTGATATTTTTTGCCTGGGGTGTGACTTGCAGCCTGAAAATATTCAGTTACAGACAGCACTTAAAACCTTTTTGTTGTTGCCCTTTTTCCACTCTTTCTTAGGTGAGCGATGATGGTGATGAATTTTCTGCAGCAAAGGGTGCAAAACATAGAAATAAAAGAACAGTTGCACGACCACGGCATCATGTCAAAGCCAAGAAGAGAAAGCTTAATGATCCAGATAGCGATAACGAGGGTTCAGACATGGAGTTCAAGCCTGATGAAGCGAGCAGTGAAGAAAATAGTCCCGGAAGAGGTGAAAGTGAAACTTCTGACACGGAGTTCAATCCGGAAAAGAAAAAGAAACATCATTTTAAAGTCTCTCCTAAACCATTCATTAAGCCAACACAGGAAAAGGAATACAGGCTTCCCCAGAAGGAAATTCCTAAAAATGACACTCTTGATACTTCCACCAGAGAGGTTAATCTTTCTTGTGAGATTATGTATAAATTAGCAAGTTTTGCAGCTCCTGACTGTTACGATTATCGTCCAAATATTAATGGAGGAGGAGAAGATGGTAGTCCATCTGTGTGGGAACATGATAAAATTGAGTGGCTCAAAGATGGTAAAAGGAAAGATGCTAATAGGAGGCGTCAGAATGATCCAGATTATGACCCAAGTACTATTTTTGTGCCAGAGGACTACCTTAAGAACTGTACCCCAGGAATGCGGAAATGGTGGGAGTTGAAGAGTCAGTACTTTGACTGTGTTCTCTTTTATAAAGTTGGAAAGTTCTATGAGTTGTATCACATGGATGCTGTGATTGGGGTTAGCAAGCTTGGACTGTCGTTCATGAAAGGCACTTGGGCTCACTCGGGCTTCCCAGAAATAGCCTATGACAGGTTCTCCAATATCCTAGTTCAGAAAGGTTACAAAGTTGTCCGCATTGAGCAGATGGAGACTCCAGAGATGATGGAAGCCCGCTGTAAATCCATGGCTCACCCGACAAAATACGATAGAGTTGTGCACCGAGAAGTATGCAGGATCATTTCTAAAGGGACACAGACCTACAGTATTCTGGATGGTGACTTTTCAGAGACCCACAGCAAATACCTCCTTTGTATAAAAGAAAAATGTGACGATTCTGCTGGCCTCCATTGTACCTATGGAGTATGTTTTGTTGATACAACAGTTGGAAAGTTCTACTTGGGTCAGTTCCAGGATGACCGCCATTGCTCACGGTTGAGAACTCTTTTGGCTCATTATCCTCCTGTGCAGATCCTCTTTGAACGGGGGAATCCCTCAGGAGAAACACAGAAGGTATTGAAAAGTTTGCTTCCTTCTTCTGTTCAAGAAGGCTTGATTGCAGGCTCTCAGTTCTGGAAGGCATCTAAAACATTAAAAACTCTCATTGAGGAAGACTACTTCCAGGACAAGGAAAATCCAAATAGTGGGGTAGTTCTGCCTCCAGTAATCAAATCCATGACAGCAGAAAGTGACTCATTAGGACTTACTCCTGGGGAAAACAGTGAGCTTGCTTTGTCTGCACTTGGTTGTTGCATTTACTACCTGAAAAAATGTATTATTGACAAGGATATTTTATCAATGGCAAAATTTGAAGAATATGTTCCTGTGGACATTGATATTGGAAAAGAAATAAAGACTAGCAGCATATTTACTAAAACAAACCAAAGAATGGTGCTGGATGGCGTGACTCTAGCAAACCTGGAAATATTGGAGAATGCCACTGGTTCACAGGAAGGCACATTGCTGGAAAGGATTGACACATGCTGTACACCATTTGGGAAGAGGCTCCTGAAACAGTGGCTTTGTGCACCGTTGTGTAATCCTTCTGCTATCAACGACCGCCTGGAGGCAGTTGAAAATCTTTTGGCAGAAGCTGCCAGAGTGTCTGAAATCCGGGACCATCTTAAAAAGCTCCCAGACCTTGAGAGGCTTCTCAGCAAAATCCACAGCATTGGTTTTTCACTTAAGAACCCCAGTCACCCAGATAACAGGGCCGTTATGTATGAGGAAGGCAGATATAGCAAGAAGAAAATACTTGACTTCTTGAGTGCCTTAGAAGGATTTAAAGTTGTAGTTGAAATAATCTCGATTTTGGAAGATGTTATTGATAGTTTTACGTCCAAAACATTGAGACAGACAGTGATGCTCAAATCTAAAAACCCAGAAGGCCGTTTCCCAGATCTAACTGAGGAACTCAAGAGGTGGGATGCTGCCTTTGATCATACTACTGCACGTAAGACAGGTGTGATTAATCCAAAACCTGGCTTTGACTCAGACTATGATAAAGCAGTAGAGGATATAACGGACATTGAGGAGTACCTTCGCCAGTATTTGGAAGAGCAGCGCAAACGGCTTGGGATCAGAGCCATGATGTATTGGGGAGCAGGCAAAAACCGCTATCAAATTGAGATTGCTGAAACTGCAGTTCCCCGGGATTTACCTAATGACTATGTGTTGAAGTCAAGCAGAAAAGGGTACAAGCGTTATTGGACCAAAGATACAGAGAAGATGCTGAACAAGATAGTCAACGCTGAAGAGCGGAGGGATGCAGCACAGAAAGCTTGTATGAAAAGGTTATTCTATGACTTTGATAAAAACAGCAGAGATTGGCAAGCAGCAGTAGAATGCATTGCAGTTTTAGGTATGCATTCTTCTATTGTTGCATGTAACAAGTTCGCTTTTCATGCTTGATTCATTTTAGTACCTTGTTTATGTGCTTATGTGTATTATGGGAAGGGTGGCAAACTGGTAAACAGTAGAATAAACCATAAAATCTTGGAAGGTTACACAAGGGCACTCTAGTCTAACCCCCCCCCCTCCCCATCATGCAGGAAAGGGGCCCACAAAAAAACCAATTTTATTTGATCAGTCAGGCACCTTTTTGGGGAAAAAAAATGGCTTACAGCATTATCTGTTAGGGAAACGATTAATATTCTACAGTTGTGTTGAATTTCATTTGTGTAATGTGTGTGTGCTCTGTAACAGAAATCTTTCCTAGTAGTTTGTGGCCACTTATAAACAAAAGTTAAGGCTATGTGACACCATTTTAAATCTTTAAAATGCCTGCTTGAAAAATAGATTCCTGCCTCAGAAGAAGATGCTTTGGCCAAAATCACTGAGGTGATGCTTGCCCATCCATTGCAGTTGCAGCAGAATTCCTTGGTGTGTACTGCAAATATAGAATGCTACGAAAGGACCTCTTTAGCCATAGTAATTCGTCAGGGCTAAAATAAGAAATGTTCAAAATGACAAAGGATAAATATACACATGTGTGACATGAATGCCTTCAAGTTGACTAGGATGGGCATGAATTTTATGAGGTTTTCTTAAACAAGGAATCATCAGATGTCGAATGCTTTCATGGCTGGAATCACTGGGTTGCTGTGAGTTTTCCAGGCTCTATGGCCATGTTCCAGAAGCATTCTCTCCTGACGTTTCGGCCACATCTATGGCAGGCATCTGAGGATACATGCCCCTCAGCCGCTCAAGTTCTGAGGATGCCTGCCATAGATGTAGGCAAAACGTCAGGAGAGAATGCTTCTGAAACATGGCCATAGAGCACAGAAAACTCAAAGCAACACAATAATCTGATGGTTTTGCCAGTTCCTTCCTCTGAAATACACTTTTTTTTTGGCAGTCTCCCATCCAAGCACATGAATACACATGTATAGATAGATAAATACAGTAGAGTCTTGCTTATCCAACATAAAGGGGTCGGCAAAACATTGAATATGTGAAAATGTTGGATAATAAGGAGTGATTAAGGAAAAGCCTATTAAACATCAAATTACAATCTGATTTTACAAATTAAGCACCAAAACATCATGTTTTAAAACAAATTGACCGAAAAAGCAGTTAAATGCACAGTAACGTTAGTAATTGCTATATCTACGAATTTAGCACCAAAACATCTCAGTGTATTGAAACAGCTGTGAGTCTGGGTGAGAGGCAGACTGCGTTGAATAATACAAAACGTTGGATGAGCTTAGGTTGGATAAGCAAGACTCTACTGTAGATAGTAAGATAGATAGATATCAGGACAGATATTTTTTTTCCATTTCATATTTAAAAGAAATGTCCATATCACAAATCACGTTAATCTCCATGATATTCCTATGTAAGCAATAGCAGTGACATGAAAGCACAATCTGTATATGGGCATAAAATACTGGTCTGATTTCTGGAGATGCTTAATAATTCAGCATAGAGCTGTCTTCCTTTTTCAACAATGTGTTAAAATTCTGTTCTTTTGGTGATAGGAATTTGAATTTACCACTCAACTTTAATTTTATTAGATCAGAGAATTGGGAATTATTTCAAATTAAATATGTTTCAAGCTTCAATTTCAGTTGTGCTTTATTAGTATTTATTAATATAGTTGAGTGGAACAGTATTAACCCCTGCAAAATCTTTGAATTCCTCTGTTGGCTTAGAGGGCAGAACAGTGGATATCTTGAGATTGAAGATTGAGCTTTGCATAGAGGATTTGGTTTTCTAACTAAGAAGGAACCCAGGAAGCAGAAATCCTAACTTACTGATCTTTTATTTTGCTTTCACAGATGTCTTGCAGTGCCTTGCCCATCATAGTCAGGGATGTGATGGACCAGTGTGCCGACCTATAATCTTGCTGCCAGATGAAAAAACACCACCATTTTTGGAACTCGAAAATTCCCGCCATCCATGCATCACAAAAACGTTTTTTGGGGATGACTTCATCCCAAATGATATCTTCATAGGGGTAGAGGATGGCAAGGGGAACTCTGAGACGAAGGCACCGTGCATTCTAGTGACTGGGCCAAACATGGGAGGAAAGTCTACACTCATGAGACAGGTGATTGTAGAACAATATGCAGCATACTTTACATTCTTAACAAACTCTAGTCATTTACTCATATAAACTGACTGCAAATTTTTGAGGTGGTTAAGATATTCTTCTTCATATTGATACATTGTGGTGCAACATGTCAATTAAGAGTAGTTGCTGTTTTGATTTGGATTGCATAAATGGAGTAGCAATGGGGATGAAGGTTAAATGATTCATGTTCAGGTAGTTGGAACTAGATGATCTTCTGGACCCTTCTGCAGATAAAGAGATCTATGTTTTTAAAGAAAACATGTATGTTCCAGGTATACATTATAAGAAAAAAATATTACAGTTGAGAAATGCTTTTAGAAATGCAATTAAAATGTGGTTACACCTAAAATTACTGAGATTCCCCTGTTCTACCTGCATTCTGTTGGAATAAGCATGCAGTGAAAATTGGTGTATACATTGCATGGGTTGCTTATCTTACAAGTCTACATGTTGCCTACTTATTATGATAGGTGCCAGAAGGAGAAAAGGAGCAAACAAGGTGGTCCATGCCAACAATGCCTTGGACACTTAAGTTTGCATACATTGTGCCATCAGAAACCCCAGATGTCACTATTTTAGCCCCCTTGCGGATGATTTTGGATTGTTTAGGATAAAGAATTCTGAACCTGCATTTCTTTCTTGTCTTTCTTACTTTTGGAAGAATCAAGTGAAGATAGTTCCCTAATGACGGTTGGCTTTGTTGCTTTGCAGGCTGGACTGTTGGTAATAATGGCCCAGTTGGGATGTTTTGTTCCAGCTGAATCTTGCAAGCTCACTCCTGTTGATAGAGTCTTCACCAGATTAGGGGCTTCAGACAGAATTATGTCAGGTAAGTTTTGAGCGGTTTTTTTTTAAGTAATACTAAAGCAGGGTACTCTCGCCAATACAAGATAATAATGGCTTGATACACAAATTTTATTATGCTTTTGTTTTCAAACTGGATCTGCTTCAAAAACATTCAGAGAAAATGCCCTCTCCCCCTAAACAGTTCATTTTTCTTGAAAACATTTCCTTAAATCAGTAGGTGTATTAGTATTTCTGAAAGGTGGGGGGATGATCCCCTGTTGTCTTGTGTCGTTGGATGGAAAATTCAAGGAGATTGCTCTTGCAGAAAGAAGAAGAGGGCTGCTCCAAGTCAAGCAATCAGTAGAGGGAGAGAAAGGGGGGCTGAAAGAATACATCCAAGAGCCAGCATTGAAAGAAGTCCGTAAGGCTGAGATGCTGAAATTAAAAAAAATCAAAAGAAGAGTGCGGTGGCTAAGCAAGCCACTCCATGGACAGTATTTTAAGAACACTGAAGGAAAGGTCTAAAGCTAGAAAAGGATGGGAGTGGCTTAGAAGGAAAACTCCAAATAAGGAAACTGAAGGCCTAATTTTTGCTGCATGAGAGCAATCCTTACGAATAAATGCAATAAAAACAAGAATTAAAAACTCCTACAATGACCCAAAGTGTTGTTTATACGGAAAGAGTGATGAGACAGTGGAGCACCTAATTTGCAATTGCAAGAAAATAGCCCAGATTGACAGTATTAAACATCACAACAGGCTAGCAGCAATGGTGCACAGGAACCTTTGCAAGAAGTATGACCTACCTCGCAGTAAAACCTGGTATGAGCACAAGCTGGAAAAAATGAAGAAGCAAAAATACTCTGGGATTTTAGAATCTGAACAGAGAAACATTTGCCACATAACACACCAGATATAACGGTTGTGGAAAAGAAGCCTGTTTTTATTGTAGACATTGCAGGAGATAGTAGAGGACAAAGAGCTGAAAAAGATCATGAAATACAAGGACTTACAAATTGAAATTGGAAGACTGTGACAAAAGAGAACAAGAGTGGTACCAATAGTGGTTGGTGCTCTTGGAGGCATCAAAAGAAACCTCGAAAAGCACTTGAAAAGCCTTAATTTGGTCAGAACATCAATCCACATGCTGCAGAAGGCAGAACTTCTCAGAACTCCGCATATTCTACGCAAATACCTCTAATATCCTAAGCCCTTGGAAAACCCCCATATTCAGGTACTAATCCCAGGCACTTGGACGTAATGTGCATGCGTGCGGTATATACTTGTAACAATAAAATAATAAACAAGCCAGGGCCCTACAGCTACAGTCAGCCGGCAGGGCTCCTATAGGCTAGTGATGATGGGGCCTGTGTTCCAAGCCATTTGAGACACACTAGAGGTCTGTTCCTGGATAAGGTTTTCCATAAGCTACAGGAGGTTTGACTACTATGAGTCTTTGGAAGGATTGTGCTCATGACTGTGCTTCCTTCACCAGGGGAAAGCACATTCTTTGTGGAGCTGAGTGAGACCTCCAGTGTGCTACGACATGCGACAGAACATTCCTTTGTTCTCATGGATGAATTAGGTATGTGGGGTGATGATGCAGAAAGAATGTTATGATCAAGCTAGACCATTGATGGCATCTGTTTCTACCTACCACATTAATAAGTAATGATAGGGCATTATATGTACCAGCCTTTCATTTAAATTGGCCAGTATATGTGCATTGACACCAGCACAGCCCATGTGTGGACTGCTGATCCATGGTATAAACAGCATGCAAAAGAGGTGGGAATCCAGTTTTAAATATATGTGGTGGCATGATAGTTGGACTTGCCAGGACAGCGTAGGTGATGTAGTATTATAACATTAGTCATTGTGTCTTCATCAAACCAATCTGCTAGTCCAGAGCTGTAGGAATAAAACAATTCTTACTCAAGAAATTTGCGCCCCTGCCCTTTATTTACAACTCAAGCAGGAAATATGTATGGATTTCATTTTATTGCCTAAATGGTTTAGTTGACTTATTGTGAACTGAGTTTGCTTCCTTCTGCCTACAATTTGTTTCTAGTAGCAATGCATCCCTGTTAGGAATTAGGCTGACCATCCAGGAATGATAGCAAACACAAGTTGTGAGGCTCAGGTTATTTATGTCCCTTCCAACCTCAAGAAAGCTACTGTTAAAAATGCTGAATTTTATTTTTGAAATGTGTATATTAGGAAGAAATTCAATGTGATCCCAAGATGATAATCAGGTATTACAAAGTATGGGAAGAAAACATTTAATCTCATTATGTCCTGGCAGTACAGCCAGTAGTGAAGAATTCAGTGCAACAATCCAATCCCTGCTTTTCTATGCACCCTTTCCTTTCACATTCCAGGTGACAGGAGTGTGGGATCATCCTAAATCATAAGGGTGTGAATTGTAATGCTTCCTTGCATGTTTGACAGCTTATATCAGTATTCTCTATTTAACTCCCAATAAAAATATTTAAAAAAAATATTAAATAATTTGTTATTTATTGACCATAGCAAGAACACCGGATATTTAGAATTGGTTTGGATCCACCCCTTTAAGCTGTAATTGTTCATTCTAGCTATAAAATGGATGGTTTATACCAGGCATGGGCAAACTTGGCCCCTGCAGGTATTTTGGACTTCAACTCCCACAATCCCTAACAGCCTCAGACCCTTTCCATTATCCCTTCAGCCGCTTAAGCGGCTGCAGGGGCCAAGTTTGCCCATACCTGGTTTATACTCTAGGTAGTGTCGATGGTTAAGTCTATCAAGTCTTTAGTAATATAGCACTCTTCAAGTGGCTTTTAGGAAGATATTCAGAAATTTGTTAAGGTCAAATTACTGCAAGTCATGAACTGTCTCTTGCAATAGTTCTGATGTCTTAGATTTTACTCAGTTCTCTCTCGATTTTCAGGTCGAGGTACAGCTACATTTGATGGAACCGCCATTGCAAATGCGGTTGTCAAAGAACTTTCAGAGAACATAAGATGCCGCGCCATGTTTTCAACACATTACCATTCTTTAGTAGAGGACTATGCCAGCTGTCCCTTTGTGCAGCTGGGACACATGGTACATGCTCTTTTTTTTTTCTTACTTGTGATGTTGGCTTACTGGTTATAACGTCATGTATTGTGTAGGATCTGCAGAGATTCAACTAAAGAGCCCGATTTCCTCCCAAGTGCAGAGTTCTGCTAAACATTTTCTCTGATTAGGTTTCTGAGCACACTTTGCAAACTTTACCAAGGAAAGTTAATTTAACTCTTACAATGAGATCTTGCATCTATCATACTGTGGGTGCTTTACATGACATGAAACAGATTCCCAGTCCTCCTACTACCTCCCCTTTTTTGTGTGTGCAGGCATTTTTGCAATCATAACTCTAATCAGTTGCTTCCTAAAATAATGAAATACAGGCAACTCTCCAGTTTTGCAGATTGTATATTCTTAGATGCTAAGTCCTCCAGCACAAGTCTATGGTTGGTTTATTTTATCTATTTATTAATCAGTTTAATATACCGCCACTCTCTGAAGGCTCGGAACGGTTTACAATATACATATGCGATGTATATGTATATTTACACCAGATGTTGACCATATGTGGAGGATCCAGACCAGGCCTGCACAGTCTGTGGCCCTCCAGGTATTTGAGACTTCAGCTCCCAGAATTCCTGATCATTAGACAAGCTGGCCAGGGCTTCTGAGTCCCAAGCACCTTGAGGGCCACACGTCTGGTCTAGGCTCTAGAGCAGAGCTTTCCAAACTGTGACACCTGTAGTCCACATGTGTCATACAAAAAAATGCTTCCTGCCGTCACAGGAGCATCTAGGCCAGTCCTCTTCAGCCAGGCAAGACACAGTCAAAGTGTTCCCTCCTGACAGCCATCCAGCTTCAGTTCAAAAACCTAAGGAGACTCCACTGGACTCCTGTGGAGTTTATACTTCACTAGAGACCTGCATAGTGCTCCTGGTCCGACCCCTTTCAGCCAGACAGGAATGCACAAAGCACCTCTGAATGGCCATCCAGCCTATTTAATATACCTCCAGAAATGTAACACTACAGACATAAAGTGCTGGTGTTATTCCAGCCTAGGTACCATTATAACTTTTATAATTTGCACAATTTGTTGATTAAGTGCAATAATTATCACTAAAATGGATCCGTTTCTAATTAAGGCAAGAAATTGTTGACAATGTTTGTGGTGGAGGTTATAGAGGAAACTACACATAAGCATAATGGGGGAAATACCAAACCTTGTTTACACAGTAGGGATTATGTAAAATTTATCCTCCCTCTCTCTATATATTGTATGGAACTCTTATAAGTGGTTGGCTTAAGCTCTGGTTTGCTATTCATACTGAATGATTGTGTCATGAAATAATGTGTATCTGAAAAGTGTGGCAACAACACAAAATGTTTAGAAAGGTCTTCTCTATAGAGAACAGTAGGTCGTCTGGGGCAGTTTTATGGCCACCCCCCCCCCTTTTTTTTTAAACTTTTTTTCTACTTTCATAGGGGCCCTGTGACCATAATCCCAGCAAATATGGCATACTGGTTGTAATGTTGTTTTATTGCTGTTTGTCATTTGTATTATGTGCATTTCAGTACACTTATTTGGGAGTTCTGGAGTAAAAGTACGTTTTGTATTTAAGATGAGGTTTGAAGGGGGTGGCCTTTAATACAGGGTGGCCAGCTATTTGAATCTAAAAAATGTTTTTAAAAGTTCACTGATGTTACTTTGTAGCCAGTCAGTAAACAAGTCAGGTGGGTAAAGGAATAGGTTTGAATGAACTAATAGAAGTCTTCTCTTTTCTTAGGCATGTATGGTGGAAAATGAGAGTGAGGATCCTAGTCAAGAAACCATCACCTTCCTCTACAAATTTATTAAAGGGGCTTGCCCCAAAAGCTATGGCTTTAATGCTGCAAAGCTTGCTGACATTCCAGACGAAATTATTCAGAAGGGTCATAAAAAAGCAAAAGAATTTGAAAGAATTACTCATTCATTAAAAGCGTTTCGGTAAGTTTTGTTAATGGTTCGATGGTTAAATTTTTCTTTAACAGAATAGTTTTTTTCAAATCACTTAATTTGCCCTGTAGGAGATTACACAGAGTAACTTATTTCTGTTGTGCTGGTTGTACACTTCATTAGGTTGGTGGGTAAGCATGTTCATTACAAGGTGCTGATGTGTTTTGATGTTTAAAAGCAGCAAGTTCTGCTTTTGATGATAGTTTTACACAGTTTTTATAAGTCTCTTGAACAAGTACATGTTTCTTTTTTCCCAGGAACCTTTGTCGGATAGCTGATGGCGCACCGTTAATGAAAGAGGATCTTAAGAAGAGTCTGCTTCACGTTTGAGAAACCTTGTATAGTTTCTACCTCTGTTTTGGTAGCCAGTATGCAGACAACACAGTGATCTAATAAACTTTATTTTTTAAAAATGACCATTTTCCATTGTCTTTCCTAGGAAATTAAACCCTTTTAATTCTTACCTACCCTCTACATAATGGTTATTGAATACTCCACAATATATTAAGTCTAGATGTTATGGTACATGCATACACTTTCAGGCTGTTGATTACCCACTGTCACCAATACACATAAATGGAAAAAAGCTATGAAACTGTATAGGGCCATCTATATACTTTGTCATCTTCATTAGAGCAGGAAATTGCAATTTTCAGCAGTTCAGAAGAGTAATGTTGAAACTGTTCAATAAAACTGTGAACAGAGTAAAATACAGGATTGTTTGGGGAGATTCTTACAGTGTACTTTAAAACATAGTAAAACTTCAATTTTCAAACTGCTGCCTGTGTACTTTGTTTTATAGTGCATTCTCTCCCAAGATGTCTCATTTGTAAAACATTGGGTTTTTTGAAGGTGATGTAATAAAGATCATGAGGGAAGGGGGGGCGGGGCAGGGAAAGTTCTAACTGCAAAGGATACCAGAAAAATTGCTGGATATAATTTAAGATTAGTGTTCTCTTTCATAGAAAGAACGTACATACTGGGACATGAGTACAGTTACAGCAAGTCTAGGTGTGCTAACAAAACAGGACACATTCAAGTACAATAAGATTTGCTTGAAATTAAAAACTACATGAGATTAAAGCATTAAAATCATCTCAATCTGAATAAATGTTAAAAAAATCAAAATAAATGCAGAAGTGCTAGCTCACATTTTTACCATATTACAAAAAGCAATTGGTACCCATGTCCATAAAGGCAGCAACAAAGACTGCTGCTCGTCTACAGAATAGTACTACTGCAAATGGGACTGAGTTTCAATGCTACTTGTAGAAACACCAGCCTTTGGGAAGTTGGTATCTGTACAAAGATGCAGCTTATTTTCTTCACATCTGTCCCTTAGTCTTTGTTTTACACGGTAATGCTGAAACGCCCAGTTCTGTTATCCTGAGTCAACATATTGCCACTTTCTTTTTGGTAGGTTGAGCTCCATAGTGTCACCACTTTACACATCCATTTTAAAGTCTCTCTGCAGAAATGGGCAAGAATAACTTCCTCAAAAACAAAATTAACAGTTATGATAGAATGGCAGGACTTTTTTTCTCAAAGTAATTCAGTTGTGCTGCAGTGTATTAGATTCTATAGGAGGAGCAGAGTCATATAGTGTATCTGTATCATGTGTTGGTTCTCCGGCTAGTGTACAAGGATTGGACAGTGTTCCAGCACCACAGTCGCAGAAAAACCTGGAAGAGAGAAATAGTTGAAATGCGTACTTACAAAACAATTGTCCTTAAGCTTTCCACCCAATGCCATTGCTCAACATACCTATCATGTCTAATAAATTCCACATCATGTCCTTGATGGCACTTCTTAATACAGTTTACGCATATAGCGTTGCGGTCTGTCGTATTACAAGTGTGACATCTAGAATACAATATTGATTTGTTAAGACTGATTTTTTTCTTAACATTTGAAAAAGGTAAGATACAAAAGTAACAATACCATGCTCACTTACCTATAGAAATCATGCATAGGGTAGCTGGTGTAACTTGATATTTTATATAAACACTGGCCTCTACTAACAGCTTTCTCTATGGCATCTTGATTGTTCATTATTTTGTTATCTGTGAAAAGATGGCAGATTTCAGTTTCAATTTGATCTTCAAGGATGAAACGCAGTTTAATAGAACATTCAAATCCTGTATCTGAACATCTTCATTCACCAAGTGTTCTGATATAAAGCTGCATATATAACAACCCCTTTTCAGAGATCTGGGTCTATAGTTGAATGCTGCAATAAACGAACAGGATATGTATTATTCTGTAATTGTGTAGCATGGTCACACATTGAAGTCACAAGGAAGAGGCAAAGGCAACAAGCTTATTGGAACTAAATACAATTGATCCTGTGAAAGGGAGTCAGCATTTTCAAGATAAATAGAAACATTTGAACTAAAAATAACAAAGCACACTGAAAATGCAAATCTACATGTCTACTTTGAAGTCTGTCCCAATGGGGCATAATCCTAAATTAGGACTGAAACCTTACGCTGCTTCTATGTTCAAATAACTGAGCTTTAGGAGAGATGGCTCAATAGCATACAGTATTCTTACTGCTTATACAATGGACACCAAGAAATCTGTGTGTACAATATTTCAATGAGCAAAAGTTACTCCGCAGGACAGTCACCTAAAGTCCAACTATGAAGCCACCTCATTTGACTAGTTTTCTATCCAGTCCATTTCATCAAAAAGCATTTTTACAGAAAGACATTAACATGCATGTTCACATAGTCTCCAATGTCAGATGTTTACAATCCTTGCATTAAGGATTCGGTTACACTACCATTCTGATATCAGAATGTAAAATTAAGGTGATAACAGATTTCAGCTGATCAATACTGCTACAGAAATGCATTTATGCCCACATGTATTTTTACACAATGGTCCTACTTGCATCAATACTGTGAATTTCTTGTGTTTTTCTTCTTAAGAAGAGAAGGACCTATATGGTATCATTTATTAAGAGCCTTGCCCTCATCAGTTCACCTTCACATCTAACTCCTCTAGTAATTATCAAGTACTTGTGGCCTATGACCTGGGATAAACTGGTATGTCAAGATGACTAGATTTGAGTAGACAGTGACACACATAAGGTATGCCCTTCCTAATATTTCTTTCCATCACCTGCAACAGCTAGTAGGCATTCTCTCTCACTTGCCTGTGAATAGCCACAAAAACAGTCTTTCACCAGATGTCATTTCTGCTCTATTCTGAAATAGACTGTGTGGATAAGAAGATGACCATCACTGCAGACAGGCCAAGTAGTAATGGATGAGATGGGATTTTGAGTATGAGCAGCCAACAGGCCCCTGATTTCTTTGCCTGTATGATCCTTCTCCCAATTTTTCTGGCTCCGCACCACGGAATAATATCCCAATTTAGCTAACTATATAGCACACTGCTGCTTTTGTTAACACTTTGGGAGTTGTTCAGAGCCCTGAAACTGAGGAGCTATGCACTAATGTGTCTTTATATTCTATACAGTCTTGAAGATTTCATTGTTGCTGCAGTAAATGCAACCAAGGATGTACCTTGAGTTTATTTTTTAAAGGTGGGTTATTTTGGATACAACCTTACCTTTTCAAGGCATAAGTCACATTTCATTAAGCTTTCTATAATACATTATATTAAAGGAGTTTACGTAATACACAAGCTTTACAATGAAAGTTTTTGTTAAATGCTTTCTTCAAAAGCAATGATACTGCTGCATTCAAGATGATATTCGGGTAAAAATATTAATGTATAAAAAAAATAAGTGCACACTTTTTGGCAGCCAAACAGGGACACTGTTAGACTGAAACAATTATCACAATGCAAGTCACTAAATATGAGAGAATTGCCTTTTTAGGTAGAATGGTTTTTATGGACAAAATGTGGTTTTGTCATCATTGTTTCCATGTCTTTAGCATATGTAATTATACGAAAGTAATAAATGCCAACAATGTTACTCATTTTCAAATAAGCATAATGAGACGTACCTTTCATTGTCACATTGACACCAGATGCTAGAAATAAACCTCCAAACCGGTTATTGAAAATCTGATTGCCTTCTAAAGTTGCAGTTGCGTGATTTGTTATTTCAATACCTTATATTTTTAAAAAGGGAGAATGAAATTAGTCTAGCAAAATAAATCAGCCCAGTAAATGTAGCTACTTAACAATGAATTACTAGATGTGCAAATAAAAAATGCAATCCTGCACCCAGAGCAAATTTGCAATCTTACAGAAGCTGACTACAGAAATAAAAATTGAATATTTCATAAGTCATATTGCTAAGTTACAGCAAGCTAAGGAATTGCTTTTCCAGGGAAGGGACAGGTGAATCCAAATGGCAAGTACATAAAACGGTGGTGCTCAAAACTGGTTTTTTGGAATATACCAAAGACTTTATTTAGTCCAGTATGCTTAATGGAATTTAGAAATATACTACCTCTATATATGGAAGTTTAAGTGTCATTACTAATAACAACTGATACACCACCTATTTTCTAATATTGTTTATGCCAGTAGCAACTACATCTTACAGTACTCCATTCTGTATGTTAATTATCCATTGTGTGAAGCACTTGCTTAGCTTTTAGCCTGCTTCAGGTTCGGGAGCTCTAGCTGCATTCACGGGGGGAAGCATGCAAGCATGCATAGGTTGTTGGCCTGCAGGTCCCATCACCCTTATCAAACAAACACAAGCAATACTGAGGACTGTTGAGAATTGCACCCCATCAACACATGGAGGGTTGCGCTGAGGTTGATCTGCATCTCGGAAAGAATACTTTAAAAAAATAAAAAACAAGGATTTTGGCATTTGAGTTTATTTGTTTGCTAACTGATGACTGCTGATTTTAATGTATTCCAACTAAGTCTTTATTTGCCTTAATATTTACATTGTAATTCTATATTTTCTCTGCCCTGAATATTACTTTGCTGAAAGGCAGCATATACTTTTAATGAATAAATAAACAAACTACGGGGTGTTTCAAAAAGATGGATTCAATTTGAAGTCGCTCTATCTCTGCAACCATGAAGTATTCATAAATGAAATTATTACAACTTGAAAGGTTAGGGCAGGCATCCTCAAACTGCAGCCCTCCAGCTGTTTGGGACTCCAACTCACAGAATTCCTAACCATTGAACACGCTGGCTAGGGCTTCTGGGAGTTGGAGGCCCAAACAGCTGGAGGGCCACAGATTGAGGATGTCTGGGTTAGGGCAAATTTTTTTCAAATGAGTACTGCTAGATGCCACTCTCAGCACACAAACAACCCCTAGCCTCAGACATTTGCAAGATGGAACCCACAACATAAGGGGCTTTTTGTTCTGTTTTTGAAAATGATGGAAATACATTGAATGAAGTCCATCTTTTTGAAACACCCTATGTATCTGGCATTTTCCCCCCCAAATGCTGGTCTGACCAGGACAGGAAAACTTATCTATTATCTGCACAATCTCCAAGAGCCAGAGCTCATTCTTGAACTATTACCAAAGGGCTGTACAATGTCAGCAGTAGGAATCGGGACAACAAAAACCTCAGCCTGCTACAATAACACCAAGCAGATACGATACAGTTCTGTGAAAAATTACACCCCACTTTAATCTGATGGTGTAGATGTATTTTTAAAGTCTTTTTCTTTATAGGCCTCAACCATTGGTAGAAACACTACAATATAGGTTACTGCTTCTATTCTCATTTTACTTTGAATTGGTATAAGCACAGAACATTTAACTAAACATAGATGCCACAAACAGGGTGAAGAAGGATATCTGTATCATAGATTTATAGCAACAAGGGCCGTATTTTATAATCTTTAGAAAGCAAATTGCCATGATGATAGAGATTTTTATTTTCTCTTATATGACTTCTTGTTTTGGAATTGAGCAATAGAAAAATGTTTAGCACTGGCTACCATATATATGTGTAAACCTCCCCTCACGTATAAGCTAAAGGCAGGTTGTTACTGATTTTCATATAACCCGCAGATTGCAATGGCTACACCATTAGAGGGGGTGACAAAATGACTGCCGTCCAAACTGCGTAAGACTCATGGTGTCACCCCAAGGCACTTACGTCTTGTATCACAATTCCTGCACTGTCACTACCCTTTGGGGCCACTCAGAGTAAGGAGATGATGGTATACTCATGAATAAGCAAGTGGGCAATCAACTCTTCCTATGTCTCCTGTTGTGGCTGCTGTGGCCACTGGTGCTGTCCCCTCTTCAGCTGGTGAGATCCAACACTCATGCTCATGTTCTAGTTCTTTCTCTGTCTATGACAGCAGTGTGCTCCTCTCCTCCAGCTCCTTGGTGGCAAGATGGTCACAGGGGGCCTTTGGGGTGGTTGCGGCAGCAGCTCTAGAGCAGCTCTACAGTGTCATTGGCAGACTGGAAACTGGAGGAGAGCAGCCCACTATTTCAAGAGCAGGAACAAGAACATGAGCATGGGGCCTTGCTGGCTGAAGAGTGGATGGTGGCAGCGGAATTGGCAGCAGCAGTGGGTGAGACAAAGTGGCCTGGACGAAGGGGGCGGGGAGAGAAATGTTCTTTCACTTGCTTCCTCCCTCCCTAGTTTGACTAGTTAGGAAGGGAATATGCAGTATAGGGGTTGTAGTATGTGAAAAAAATCAATGGGGGCGGCAACAACCCTAGTGATGCCTCTACCTTTCACCACTACTCACAGAAAGGTGCACAGGCAGTCCCTGAGCTACAAACATTTGACTTACGAATTACTCATAGTTACAAATGAAAGTAAGACAACAGAAGTGAGAAAAATCTACCCCTCGGAAGGGAAATTCACTCCTGGAAGAGTTACCATGGGGAAAAAAAGGAGTCACCACTGACGCTTTCTCATCAATTCTTGTTTCCACAAGAAGCCAAATTTTTCAAAATCCAATTATCACAGGGTCAGCAACTGAGCTGAAATCTTCACAACAGGGGCACAGACAGCAAAACAAACATAACAGGGGTGTTGACCCTTCCCTCTACTATACAAACCTTATATATTTGGCTGGAATTACACTTAAAATGTATCTTTTCTGACTTATATACAAATGCAACTTAAGAACAGACCTACAGCATCTACCTTTTTTCTTTTTATCTTTATACCAACAGAACCTATCTTTCCTGTAACTTGGGGGCTGCCTGTAGTTCCTTTTTTGCTAAGAGTTAATACCGAACCTTAAAATTTCTCAAAAAAAGGAACCATCCCATTTTCTGAGTAGAGTAGTGGGAGGTGAAAGCTTAGTTTGTCCCAGCAGAATGTAAACAGTAGAATGGCTTCTACTGTTTCAGCTGCAGCGGGGAAACACCACAGAGCCATCATCATTTTCCTAACCAGGTTAATACAATGACCTGTTGATCACTGAACCATGTCTTTTGGGTCAATTTTTAGTCAAACTTTTTTGGCCTTATATATATGAGTAGATACAGTATACTGGAAAGGGCAGGAAATTTGTAACAAAACTAAAAATTAGTAAAAACCTTTTTTTAAAGTGACTGATAAGACTTAAAGCCCTTATACTAGTTATGGTAACCAATATAAATCAGCTACAAACCTGCAGCAAATCCGTCAAATATTCTATTTTTACGTAACACAGGATGACTGTTCGTGCTGATGAGAACTCCAGCTTGTGCATTCCTAAAGATATCATTCTCTTCAAGGAGGCCTAACACAAAACAAAGAATGGGAGTTTTAATCTGAAGTTATGTTTATGAGCACAGGAAAAAAAAAAATAATCCACAGTAACACCGGAGGTATTTTCTTTTAAGTGTTACAATGTTAGGGCACAGAAATGAAAATACACAACTTTTCTATAGAAAGTAGGGCTATTCCAATTGGAAAATCACCATCAAGTAAATTGACCACATAGATTTTTTTAACCACTGCGCAGAAAAGGCTGAATATTGACCAGCAGAATTCTGACACAGCGATGCAGACCAATTCTAGGTGGTTAAAGAAGGCTATTGTGTGATTTCAGTTACAGTAAATTTAACTAAACAACTTCCCATCAGCTAGTAATCAAAAATGGAATAGGGTGTGCATTTTTAGAGAGTGACAGTGGTAAAGCTGGATCAGTAAGAACAAGGGAACTTTCTGTTTTGACTATAAATGTCTTGCTGTTAGTAAATATGACAAAAGTGGAAGGACAATACCTCTGCCACCATTAAATATACAGATGCCACCATCTCTTCCATCGTGGATTTTGTTTCTTCTTAATGTGGGGTTACTGTCTGTCTTAATCCATACTCCAGCCATCGCATTATCAAAAATTTCATTATCTTCTATAAAGCCAAGGCCTTTAAAAGAGTAAAAGAAAAAGTCAATGCTGTTGGAGCCACAGAACAACCTTGTATTATAAATTCTGAACACTAAGCAAAACAGACACTTACCAGAGTTATAAACAAGAATCCCACCATTCTGTCCTCCCCAAATTTTGTTGCGCCTAATTTTGGGGTTGCTTCCAGTTCTGTGGGAAAGAAAATGCCAAAACATTCGTTAGAATTTTCTATTCTATAAAGTTATATTTAAATGTTATTAAAACAAAAAAAGCATTATTATCACTGCACAATTTGGGGTATAATTCAGAAATAATATGGGTGCATGCATAATAATTTGGGGTATAATTCAGAAATAATACGGGTGCAAGCCCAAGTCCAGTACTTGGGCTCGTCTTCTTACACTCTCATTCTGACCAGGTATAAATAATAATGCTTGAAACAGTAACATCCTATATTCATCAGAATCCTGTATCATCCACATATTCTGTTCTCCAAGCCCACAGTGAACTGTTCTAGCACATAAAGTACCTGAGGTTAAGTGTAAATCTGTCCTGAATATTCTCTCATTTTAGTGTTTAGACTACGTTTACACATGTTTGTGTGCATGCTTAACCCCTTAGCTGGGAAAAAACTTTACACACATATAATCCCATTACTGGCAATTCATTCACTTTTCTATTGTAGCTTGGCATTATTTTCTCTACTTATTTTAAAATTCCTCCCTTTCTTTCTTTGACTAAGTCTAGCTAATCAGAGGAAACAAATGCCCACGCCGAAAATGAGAAAAATCTTTCTTTTCTTGCAAAATGACCAATGAAAAAATTCAGCTCTAGGAGACCCTTTTTTAAAAAAAAAAGTGGTGGCATTGTACGCAATACATGCATGTGAAAAGTAGTGACAAACATTCTACAAAGCAGGTTTTTGCTGTTCTCTGAAAGGAAATAGGAGGTGGAAAGACAGTGATTTGCCTCAGACCACTCACTCCAGCCTTGATCAAGGTTAGACCAGAATCTATAATATATCCAAAGTGAATAGGACCTTCTCTACCATTAGTTTAAATCTCGGATAAAATCTGCTATCATACAATTTTCCGCCCAATGAAACAGAAAAAAGGCAGTCAGACTGAATGGGCATACAAAATCCAACTGTTGGGGTGGGTAGGAAAGCATTCTTTTATTGGGGATCATTGGTTTATGCATTAAACTACTGAAGTAAGTTAAATAAAGGTATATTTTACCTGATTTGAACCCCTGAGTACATATGGTTATAGATATCATTATCCTCCAGCACTCCATGTCCATTGTCATAGAAATAAACACCAACCTGAGGAAGTGAAAAGGTATTTGGTAACAAGTTTCAAAACACTATGGCTATACTGTAATCTACATTGTGATTGGCACCATACCTGTTTACCACTATGTATTCTGTTTCTTCTCAGCACTGGAGTGCTTCCTGTTGTTACCCAGACGCCAGCCAATGTATTGCTGTAAACTTCATTTTCTTCAATCACACCTTGGCCTTTTTCATGCTAAAAAAGGAACAAAAACAAATAAATACAAGTGGGGCATATAGAAGTTATCACACTACACTTTCAAGAGTTGGCATTCCCGTTTCATTCCTGTGGATACCTCCTGCAAAATTCTGGGGTTTGGAGTCTAGTGAGGCTCAGGACCTCTCTAGCTGAGAATTTTAAAGGCCCCTCCCTAAAACAAAAAATCCCAGAATTTAATGTGGGATACCAACACTTTAACAGTGTATTATGATAATATTTGAATGCAGTACTGGAAGTATATGCCCCCGCCTCTCAAAGACAGGGCCTCAGTCAGCCACTCCAAGCTCCTCTTTGCCTTCTCCTGACTACCTGCTCCGTTTCTCTTCATCTTTCCTCCTGAAACTGTCATTCTGTAATTACTCAGCAGACTACAGTCCCACTGGTCAGTTTGTGTGGGAAGCATCCACCTTAGATGTGTGGTTGCTGTTGATACTATGCAATGACTGTGAGCACATGATTACTCTTAACCTTGTTCTGCTGGGCCACCTCTCTTTCTGAGCATTCTGTGATTTAGCCCACACACGCTCAAGAATGAGCAAAAATGAGCCATGTGCCCATATGAGGAAATGAGGGAGGAAAGGACTGGTCAAATTTATTTAGAACATTTCTACCCCGTCCTTCTCAACCTCCGAAGAGGGACTCAGAACGGCTTCCAACAGGCAACGATTCAGTGCTGACACAGTATAAAACATATCATAAAATGCCACCATAGACATTAAAACAGTTATACATTAAAAACAGTTTGTCAGGTTAAAATCATCATCCAAATCAGTCCATTGTGGTCAAATAAAGTCTTATCTTCACCAGAAAATCAGTCTATTCTGCAAAAGCTTGCTCACATAGCCAGGATTTAAGTTTCTTCTGGAAAATTCATGCAAATAAAAGCCTTGCCCACTGATTTTCAAGCACACAAAATGGAATAGAGCCTTCTTCCCCAATCCTCCCTGCCTATGTCTGGAATCCACATAATTAGTATCTGGAACAGATCTAGGCTAGGATTAAAGTATCTACTACATAAGATTATAATTGTTGATTACTATAATTTAATTTAATTGATTAATTGTAACTGAAGATAAAGAGAGCATACATTTATCTAAAAACAATAAAAAAATAAACATTCAACATTTCCGAATGTTGAAAAGGGGATCTAGAGGATAATCCCTACCAAAGCTCATGCCAAAACCACATTAAGATGCTCACCACATAAATGCCACCGTGTTGGCCATCATGGATCTTGTTGTGTCGAACAATGGGACAGCTGTTAGTTCGAATTTGAATCCCGGCTAATGCATTGCCTGTTGAAAGGTGTAAAATATGAGACAGTGTAGCAAATGGACACAAAGAATATCAAGTAAAATGGATCAAATATTCAGTTATTTACCATAGATGTCGTTTCCTTCAATAAGGCCTCTACCATCGCCAAAGATGTAGACTCCTCCTTGATTCCCATTAAAAATTGCATTACCCCTAAGAAACAAAAGCAAGAAAATGAAGCTGCATATGTCAGACACAGGCTGTAACACCTAAATATTTAAAATAAATATTAATTAATATTAATTAATTAATATTGAAGACATAAAGGCTGAAAGTGTAATACAGAAACCACAGAAATTTACTCTGAAAACAAAATAAAGTCTGATTTTTTTCAAAAAGCAGCAACTATTACTTCATGTTTGCAGGCTATTAAGTGCTAGTTCTCAGATGGTCTCCTTCCTCCTTCTCCAAAAGCTTATATGGTCCTAAGTATCGAATGATGAAAACCAGCTATAACAAACACTTTAAATTTGGTCAATACACATAATGAGCCAACCAGTGTCCCCAAACAAAAAATTAAAACGAGTACCTTATTGTTGGGTCACTATTTGAAGTAATCCATACACCTGCAAAATTGTTTGCATAGATCTTATTTTCTATAAATTGTCCTCTTCCTTTTTCGTGAACATAAATTCCTCCAGTCTGACCATGGTGAATTTCACAACGAACTACAGTGGGATTGGCATATGCTTTTACTTCAAAACCTGCTATTCTATTTCTGTGTATGTTGCAGCTTTCAAAATAGCCCTGATACAAGGAAGAAGAAAGAGAAGAGAGGCCTGTTAGTAAAGAAAACAAAAACTGGGAATGGAATTATGATCTATTTTCTTTCCCAACCTTTTTGACATATTTAAGATATCAGTGTACAGACATTCATATTATTATTATTATTATTATTATTATTATTATTATTATTATTATTATTAACACTGGACTACAACTCTGGAAACCAGTTTTTAATCCCTACTCAGCCGTGGAAGCCCACCGGGTGACCTTATTTATTATTTATTTATTTATTTAATGCACTTGTAGACCGCCGTTCTCAGCCCTGCAGGGCGACTCATGGCGGTGTACAACATATAAAAACAGGTACAAATATCCACATAACAATATAACATAAACACTAATAATACAGTTACACTAAATCATTCGCGACGTCTCATCATTGAATCACAATCCAGTTCCCATTATCCATATTCCGTTCCGATCGTCAATAGCCAATTGTTACAGCACTTACTCAAAGGCCCTCTCAAACAGCCACGTCTTTAGACTCTTACGGAATGTCAAGAGGGAGGGCGCCGATCTGATGTCCACAGGGAGGGTGCTCCACAGCCGGGGGGCCACCACCGAGAAGGCCCTGTCTCTCGTCCCCGCCAGGCGTGCCTGTGAGACAGGCGGGATCGAGAGAAAGGCCTCCCCGGATGATCTCAAAGTCCTCGTGGGCTCATAGGCCGAGATGCGGTCAGACAGGTATTTTGGGCCGGAACCGTTTAGGGCTTTGTAGGCCAACACCAGCACCTTGAATTGGGCCCGGTAGCAAATCGGCAGCCAGTGGAGCTGGTACAAGGGCGTTGTATGCTCCCTGCGTCCCGCTCCTGTTAGTAACATGGCTGCCGCGCGCTGGACAGCTGGAGCTTCCGGGCCGTCTTCAAGGGCAGCCCCACGTAGAGAGCGTAGAGACCTTAGGCAAAATGCACTCTCTCAGCATGAGAAGAAAGCAAGGCAAATACCCCCTGGACAAATCTTGCTAAAATGTGAAAGGGTCACTCTAAGTTGGAAAGGACTTGAAGGCACGCAACAGTCAGAATGCAGTGTACTTTAAAAATATACAGTGATAAAGGAGACAAACTCTTGGGTTTCTTATTCTAGCAAGTTATTGTTAAACAATTAACTCCAACAGAAATTTAATTCTTATTCAGCTAAAAACAACTATTGTGTACTATTTTCAAAAGTCAGACCTTAATTCAAAAGGTTCTGTTGGGTTATTAGTCCGGGTAACAACAGAGACTGGATTCAGAAGTTGTACTGACATCAACCGTCAAGTATCCCAGCAGTGAAAATATTTCAGTCTCAACTACAACATCTAAACTTCCAGAAACCCCAATATTTTCTCCTCTTAACCTTAACCTGATTATTGAATTCTTATCAAAGTATTCTTAACCTCAATGAAACATTTGAGATCTGTTCTTGGCCAATAATGATTTTACTTTAGAAGGCCAGTAGGGTTCACATATTCCAGATTGTCAATTTAGAACAAATAGATTTTATGTTGACTCTGACGTCAATCAGTTAAAAGCATACAACCTCAGATGGCTGTTCTTGCTGTGGTGCCTTACCTCTCCCACCACATACTGTGATGTACTGTATTGCCAAAAAAATGGCATCAGCATTGCCCGATGCTTTAAAACTATATCATTGTAGGAAATGAATGGTTTTTGTGGCCTGATTTATGGCAAACACAGTGTCACTCAAACCCAGCACTTGGCAACAATATACAGTACATGAAATGCAAAAGTCAACATGACAAGCCATTTTAAACTGACAAACTGTTCAATCTAGGCAACCGTGAAACTGCTCCACCAAGCACTAATGCAAACACTGGAAAGGTGCCATCCTGTTACAAGTGGGCTCCATAACTACTAGAGCATCAAGATGCACAAAAATCTTAAGCAATAAGTATGATGAAGAGAGGAATATAGCGCTCCCCCTTTTGGACACCCACTGAAAACAGGTTTGTGTGTGAGCATGGGCCACTGTCAGGACTCGGTTTCCTGGCCTTGGAAGGTGGCGCAAAAAACCGGATTCCTGACATGGAGAACTGATAAGGGATTGCAGCTGGTGGCCTTGGGAAGGGCAGTTGGTGGCTTGGCGGGGAATATTGAGCGGGATCCTGGGTTGGCGGGAAGGGGGGATTCGAATGTGGGGAGGGTATATAAAGGGCTGACATGCGTCTGTGTGCCAATCCTGGCTTTCATTCTGTATGCGTATCCAGTAGTAAAAGGTTTCCTGATTGATTACGGACTGGCGTCTTGTGTCTTTTCGGGGAGCGGCTGCTGTGAGCTTACATTAAGCCAGGATTCTCGGTGCCATCCCACGGCTGTGGTGAGGTACCTATATGCAACGAGAGGAAGACCCAACGGAGGGAGGGGAACCTGGCTCCCCTTTCGAGAATGCGGAAGAGGAGCTGGAGAGAGTGAATGCCTTGGCTTCATCGACCGCATATGCCCAGCCCAACGGAATCACGCAGAGGCGAGTGAAGGGGGCAGAGGCAGCGGCGAGAGAAAGCAGTGGACTGGACTTTCCCTCCCCGCAGAGGATAGACTATTTGGAGGAGAAGTTGGCGTCCATGGAGACCACCCTCGCGATGATGTCGAGGGTAATGGAGCGGCTGGCCCCATTGCTAGAGGAGCCACAACCCCGAGGGGACTCGATATGGAGCACAGAGGAGAGGAGTGATCGGAGAACCGGGGCTCGTCCTAAAACGCAGACGAGTTGGAGAGCCCCTGCGGAGAGCGACGAGGAGGAGAGACAACCCCGGGGACTGGCGCCCCAGCAGACGTTCCTGGTGCCCCCGGCCGGAGCCGGGCGTGGCACAGGGCGTCAAGAATTGCCCCCGGAGCAGCGTGGGCTCCAGGGAGGGCCACCCCGAGCGGAGAACCAGGAGAGGCAACCCCTTCTCTACCAACCAAGAAGGGAGGAGCTGAGGATCGAGTTCGGAGGAGAAGCAGAGAAACTCGCATACTTCCTGACCATGGTGAGGGGATATCTAGAGGACAACGCCCTTACCTTCGGATCGGAGGCAAGCAGGGTGCGGGCAGTGGGCGCAGCGCTGAGAGGAGGAGCAGCGGAGTGGTACGTCCAGCTCCACGCCAGGCGCGATCCATGTTTGGGGTCTACGAGGCGGTTCCTTGCTGCAATGGAGGCACGCTTCAGGGATCCGCTCGAGAGGATCCGAGCGAGGGACAGGCTACGAACAATAACACAAGGCCATCGCTCCGTATCGGAATACGTAGAGGAGTTCCGATTGAGAGCGGAAAAAGTGCCGGAGTGGTCTAACACCACCAAGGTCCAAATATTCAAAGAGGGCCTGCGGAAGGAAATCTTGACGTGGGCACTTCATCGCGACGATCCGGAGGAGATAGGCGGATGGATCGAGCTGGCTCGCCGCATCGAGACGACGTTGGCACAGGTCAAGAGACATCAAGGAGCAGCGCCGCAGCAGACGAGAGCCAAGGAGGAGAATCGGAGAGCGGAGAGAGTCGCGATCGGGAAGGGCCCTACCGGAGGATCCAGGGAGCAGAAGGGCGGCTGTTATGTATGCGGACGCCTTGGCCATCGGGCTGCTGAATGTCGGCAGAGGAAAGGGGGAGATCCCCATTTTCCAAAGTTCAAGCCGGCCGCGGGGAAGAGAGCGGAAGAGAATCCCCCTCATAGGGCCCCAGTGGGAGACCTGGTGAGTCACAGCCCAGGAATGCTAGTATTCCCGATCAGGCTGGAAGGGGAGGGGAAATGGGCCAGCTGCAAAGCCCTCTTGGATTGCGGCTGCTCCAGAAATATTGTGGCACCAGAATTAGCAGATGAACTAAGTTATAAGAAAACCCTGTTACAAACCCCCATAGCATTCTCGCAGCTGGACGGCTCGGTGGCGGCCGGAGCCCCGGCACAATTCGAAGTGGGGGAAGTAAGGTGCAAGGTAGGAAACTGGGAAGGCGGCATAACCTTTGTAGTGTCCCCTATAGCCACTTACAATGTAATACTGGGGATGCCGTGGTTAAAAGAAGCTAACCCCCAGGTCAATTGGAGGAGGGGCAGCATAAGCTTCCAGGACAAAGAGGGGGAGGAGTGCTGCAAGGGGGAAGAAGGCACAGCAGGCGAAGTGAAAGAAATCCCTCCTGAGTATAGAGACTTTGAGGATGTATTTGACGAAAAGGAAGCAGATCAGCTTCCTCCCCCTAGAAGGGTCGAAGTTAAAATTGAACTCAATAAGGACGCCAAGCTGCACAGAAGTAGGTTATACCCCATGTCAGTCAAGGAGATGGAGGAACTGAGAAAATATGTTGACAAAAACTTGGCCCGAGGGTTCATAAGACCTTCCGAATCACCCTTGGGGGCCCCAGTGCTGTTTAGGCACAAGAAGGATGGATCGTTGAGACTGTGTGTGGACTATAGGGGGCTGAATGCGGTGAGCACAACGAACAATTACCCAATGCCGCTAACCAAAGACTTGCTGTCAAGACTATCAGAGGCAAGGGTGTTCACGAAAATTGACTTAATTGAGGCCTATCATAAGTTGCGGATAAGGCCCGAGGACAGGTGGAAAACGGCGTTCACCTGTGCGTTCGGCCATTTTGAATTTTCCGTCTGCCCCTTCGGGCTAAAAGGCTCTGGATCAGCCTTTATGCAGATGATTAACGAGGTCCTACACCCATTACTGTATCGCGGAGTTTATTGCTTTGTAGACGATGTAATTGTGTTTACTCGTGATGAACGATCCCATGTTCAATTGGTGAGGGAGGTACTCCAGAAATTGAGGGAGGCAAAATTGTTTGCAAAACTGTCAAAATGTGAATTCAATAAGAAGCAGATAGACTTCCTGGGGTACCGAATCTCCAAGGGAGGGATAGCAATGGATCCGTCGAAGGTAGAGGATGTCAGGGGGTGGAGCCCTCCCCAAACACGCAAGCAATTGCAATCGTTCCTCGGGTTTGCAAATTTCTATCGGGGTTTCATAGAAGACTTTGCTCAAGTAACTCTACCCCTAACCGAACTGCTAAAAACAAAGGGAAAAGGGGAGACAGTAAAGGTACGATCCCCGGGAGCGAAATTGAATTGGTCAACAGAGTGCCAAAGGGCTTTTGAAGAATTGAAACGTAGATTCACTGAGGAACCAATCTTAATCCACCCCGACTTGACCAAGCCGTTTGTGATCCATTGCGACGCATCGGATTGGGCTTACGGGGCAGTCCTAATGCAAAGGGATCCAGAAGGGAGGTTGAAACCCTGTGGGTTTATCTCAAAGAAGTTCAGCGAAACTGAACGGAATTGGCCAGTGTGGGAAAAGGAGGCTCTGTCAGTCTTAAGGGCTCTAGAAACGTGGAGGCACTTATTAGAGGGAAGCGGCATACCCTTTGAAGTGTGGACCGACCATAAAAACTTACAATACCTCACTTCACCCAGGCAATTGTCAGCAAAACAAATCAGGTGGGGCCAGTATTTCAGCAGATTTGATTTTAAATTACGGTTTCATAAGGGGAAGCAAAATGTGATCGCAGACACGTTGTCAAGAATGCCAGAGGGTGGAGGGAAGGGGCAAAGCCCAAAGGGGAGCATATTCTCAGAACAGCAGTGGGGCATGGCAGTGCAGACTCGAGCACAAACGGAGCGCAGTCAAAGGCTGGTGGGGGTTGAGAGCAAGGACGGGGGATGGGAGGCGGAGCTAAGGCAAGCATGCAAGGAGGATGAGTGGCTGGAAGGAAATAAGGAAAAGGTGGAATGGAAAGACGGATTGGGATTTGTAAACAAGAAGTTATACATCCCAAGCAACCTAAGGAAAAAAATGATGGTTAGATGCCACGGCAACAAGGGAGCCGGGCACTGGGGAGTGACGAAAACCCTAAAATTGTTGGCACGCCAGTGTTGGTGGCCTGGGATGAGGAATGACACAAAATCGTATGTGTCCCAATGTAATGCGTGTGCACAAAACAAGACAACCACACAAAAACCAACGGGGTTGTTGCAAAAGGTGGCAGAGCCATCAAAACCTTGGAGAGTGATTGCTATGGACTTTGTGGGCGAACTCCCAGTCAGCCGAGGTCAGCGCTACATATGGACAGTGATGGACTTATTCTCAAAACAAGCACATTTCATAGCGCTGCCTAAATTACCCTCGGCGGAGAAGTTGGCTGGGCTATTTATCAAACACATCTATAGGCTACATGGCTGTCCGGACCAGGTGATCAGTGATCGAGGGGTGCAATTTACGGCCAGATTCTGGGAAGAGTTCATGCAATTGATGGGAGTAGAGAGAACCTTGAGTTCGGCATTTCATCCCATGACCAATGGGGGGGTCGAGCGTACACAACAGACGTTGGGGCTATTCCTAAGAACATACACAAATCATTGCCAAACCGATTGGGCTGACTTGCTTCCGTTTGCAGAAATTGCGTACAACGGAGCGTGTCACGCCTCCACAGGGAAGTCCCCATTTGAGATAGTGTACGGTATGGAAGTAACCCCTTTACCCAAGTTACCAAGTTGGGGGGAAGAACCCTGGGGGAAGGAAGGGTGGCCAGACAAGGTAAAAGCAGTTTGGGAGGAAGTGGCGAAATCACTCCAAGAAGCCCAACGAAAGTACAAGCTGTTTGCGGATAGGAAAAGGAGGGAGGGAGACAAATTGGAAGAAGGGGACTTGGTGTGGCTTAGCACGAAAAACCTCAAGCTAAATACCCCCTCTCGGAAATTGTCCCCTAAATACATTGGTCCTTTCAGGATTTCTGACAAAATAAATGAAGTAACATACACATTAAAACTGCCAAAGATTTTGGGAAAGATACACCCAACATTTCATTGTAGCCTATTAAAGAAATACCAGGGCCCGCTAGATAAAGAAGGGACATGATGGTGATATATGTTTCCCTTCCAGGATGAAGAGGAGGAGGAGGGGGACGTCATGTCAGGACTCGGTTTCCTGGCCTTGGAAGGTGGCGCAAAAAACCGGATTCCTGACATGGAGAACTGATAAGGGATTG